AAAATCTTTAAAATCTAAAGCCTTATTACCGTATAAAGGATATTAATTAAAGAAGGGTATAATATAAATCCTCAATAAATTTTGTTTAGAAAATACTATCTCAATTAGATTATTTTTCTTATGAATTCAATAATGACCTAAATTATTAAATGATTCATTAATTTTTCTTATTAATGCTTCATCTCGTAAATCCTGAGATATTAAAAATTTAGGACTAACAGCATAATCAGTTTTGCTAGTTTTATTTTTATGTATTCCTAAAGTAAAAGATCCATCTCCATTTGTAAAACCTGCTATCCAATGACCATTTAAAGGTTGGTCAGATAATTTATAAGATGGTATTTCAATTTTATTGATATCTGAAAATTGTTTTAATAAACCATCATTTAATTCTTTTGGTGATAAGGTTTTTAAAGCAATTACTTTATTTAATCCTTTAACAGTAAGATGCTCTTTAGCTAATATCATTTTATATACTTCTGACCAAAGATAAAAATTTTTACTTTTGGTAGATTGTAATGGATAATTAGTAAAATGTTTAAAAACAAATTCAGAACTAATTAAACTTCTAAAATTCATTTTAAAATAATTATCTGATTTAGTTATTTGAATACTTCCGGTATTATCAAAATAAGTATTAATTTGATTAAAAAGTTCTCTATTAAATTTAGTATTTTAGCAACTAATCCATAACCTATACAAATCTGATAACCAATTTTATGACTTTTACTTTTTCTAATTTCTATAATAAACCAACCCTCTGCATCAGTATAGCCAGTTATAAACCAAGAATGAATATTAATCTTAGATTTATTAATTAAAGGTGCAGTTAAAATTAAAGTATATGTATAATTAATAAATTTAATTATGAAAATAATTAAAAAAAAATAAATATGAAAAATTCTAAAATTAAGGAAAAGATATATTTATAATTTAAAGAACTTAATTGGTTTAATTGTATTTTAGGTAGATAAGTTTTAATCTAAAAAATACTAAATAATAAAGCATAAATTTTAATATTTAATCCTCACGATTCAAGATTGTAAACGTTAAGATATAATAAGAAATATAATAATAAAGCCTGTAAACTACTTAAGAAAATAATAATAAAAATTTTTAATATAAAATTATCACCCAAAAAAATAAGTGCAAATGAAAAACTACTGTACTCCGTGAAAGCACCTGATACTAATTCTGATTCTGATTCTACTAAATCAAAAGGTACTCGGTTGGTCTCCGCCAAAGCCGATATAAACAAAATAGGAAATAAAGGTAATAAAGGTAATAAAAATATAGTATATTTTTGAAATAAAATTATTTCATTAATATTGTAAGAACTTACTGTACCAACAATTGATAAAATAGTTAAACCTATAACTAATTCATATGATATAAGTTGAGCTGTAGTTCTTAATGAACCCATTAAAGAATATTTAGAATTACCTGACCATCCTGCTAAAATTATACCTACTACACCAATTGAAGACATTGCTAATAAATAAATTACTCCTAACTCCATATCACTAATACTATTTCCAGTTCCAAATGGAATAGTAGCCCAACCTAATAAATTAACTATAAAAATTGTTAAAGGTGCTGCCAAAAATAATAATTTATTTGATTGTGAAGGTAAAATTGTTTCTTTTAATAATAATTTTACACCATCACTTAATGGTTGTAAAAGACCAAATATACCTATATGATTAGGTCCAACTCTTCTTTGCATTGAACCCATAATTTTTCTTTCCGCTAAAGTTAAATAAGCAATTCCTAATAACACCGGTAAAATAACTGATAATATTTCTATTAAAGATAATAACATAATAATAATTTTTTTTAATTTTTCTCATCTTGAAAATTTTTCTTTTTATAAAAAGAAAAATATATATCTTTCAAGACAATATTAAATTTAGTTAATCACTAATTTATAAAATATAATTGTATAAGAATATAAAAATTAATTTTTTATATAATTATAAAACATAAGAATTGAAACATAAAGCTATTGGTCCAATCATAGCTAATAATAAATTTAAACTCATAATAATTAACCAAAAAGCATAATCAGTATATAAAGAATAAGCTATTATTTTTATTTGATTAGTATTAGGTAGTAAAGTATCCCATAATTCACTTGTATTACAAGTTTCTTTTATTATAAAAAATCCTCCATTAAAATAATCAAATAATTGCCAAAAATTATTTGAATAAGAAGTTATAAGATGTATATAATCTATATTATATACAATTTGTTCTAAATCTTGTTCTAAAATTTTATAAATTAATACTGTTATAATTAATATTATTGCTGCTAAAGGTAAATATTTAGTAAAAGAAAATTTTAATATATTTGAAAATTCAGGATATTTAGTATCTAACATCATTACTGCAAATAAAAATAATATTGATATCGCACCTACATATATCATAAAATATGCTAAACCTATAAAATTTATTGATAATACTAATAAATAACTTCCACTAAATAAAAATACTATTATTAAACTTATTACTGAATAAATAGGATTTACTGATATTAATGTTAATATTGCAGCCGATAAAGCACCACTTATTAAAATAAATTCTATTATTGTTTTTATCATTTTTTTTTTATCTTTTATTAATTTTAGTAACCCCCTATTCTAACGGATTTTTTATTACTTTTTAATAAAATTTTTCTATTTTTATTTATAAATTTTTCATTTATATATATATTTATATAATATATTATTTTAGCGGAAAAGGGTACGAATCCTTAATCTTCACGTATGAGATGAATGTTTTACTTTAAACTATTCCGCCTTGTTGGATGGAGGGACTTGAACCCCCGATTATCGAATTCAAATTTCGAGGCCTTACCAACTTGACTACATCCAATATAATAATAAATTATAATAATAATTATATCGTAAAATATTATTTTATATTAATAATATTATAAATTATAATAATATTTAAATATTATTATAATTTATATTTTATATTTTCTTTATAAAAGTAACAATTTTAAAAATTTTACTTAATTTTCTATAATAAATTTTATTAATATGTTAATATATTTTATAAATAAACTATTATAATATATTAAATTTAAATATAAATTTAATATATTTATATAAGACAATAATTAATATTCTTTATAATTTATAATAATTATAAATTATATATAATTAAATATAATAATTTAATAAAATAGTCAAAACTTATTATTTATGAATTTGATTCAATTTATTATAAGAATTAATTAATATTATAAATAAAAATAAATTTAAAAGATAAACAAAAATATATTTAAATTTATATTAAGGAAAATATTTTACAAATTATAAAAAATCAAAATAATATTTAATGATTTAGAAATATATAAAAAAATTTACAGATTATAATTATTAAAGATTTAGATAATTATATAATAGCAGGTGATTAAAATATTTTATAATTACGGCATAAAAAATGAATAAAAAAAATAAATAGAACTAATTAAATTATGAATATAGGATATGAAATAAATAAAAAATATATATTATTTAATAAAAAATGAACTATTAAATAAAGATATTAAAGTAATAATAAAATAAAAAATGAAGATTAATTATTATGAACTATAGGTGATAAAGAATCTAAATCTGATTTATTGAAGTAGCTTATTATAAATAAATAGAAGGTTTATTTCCACTGAAGCAACAGGATTATATATTGCTAATAAAATCAATAACTTTAGCTAATAGAACTATAGTAAATATATAGTTATTGTTATAGATATAAATACTAGTAAATTAATAGTAGATAATAAAAAAAAAAAGTAATATATAATTAGATAAAAACTAAAACACCACCAAGTTCATCAGATATCAAAGGAATATTTTTTTTTATTAAAAATTAATAAAAAAAATAGTTTTATTTTAAGGGGATTAAATAGAATATTTTTTTTTTATATTATAAATTATATATTAAATATATCTTCTTCAGATAAATAAAAATTAATAATCTATAGTATAATATGTTTATATTTTAGTTTGATATTTATATAATTTATAGTTAGTAATTATAAAAATAATAAATTTTTATTCCATATTTAGAATCTAAAAGTTGGAATAAAATTATTATAATTAATAAAATAAATTCTATTTAATAATAAATAATAATAATTTATTTATATATTATTATTATTTATTAGTTATTATTTACTATTATATTAGCTTTAATAGCATTTATAGTAGTTTATTTTTATAAATTTAAAATTTTTATATTTATAAAATTAAGATAATTTTTACTTTAACTTTATCCACATAGCTATATATGTTTATGAAGTATTTATAATTATAATTTCAAATAAAGGAAATTTTGATAAAATTAAATTATATTTAATATAAATATCGATCTATCAAACATTATATTATTTCTTAAATAATATAAATTATAAGTCCTTAGCTAAAGTATGTAAAAAAAAAATATAATAAAATATGATTAATAAAATACTTTATTTATATAAATAAACTTTTAAATAATAATTATTATGTTTATAAAATTATTTTATTATATACTATTATAATTAAATATTAATAAAAAAATTATATCAAATTATTTATGTAATAAATAATTTGATATATTTAATATTAAATTCTTTTAAACATAATATGAGTTTTAATAAATACTATAATAGCCAGATTAGCTTAATTGGTAAAGCAGTAATTTTGTAAATTACCTTATATGGATTCAAATTCCTTATCTGGCTAATAATATGATACCTACTTGGAGAAATTGGTAGACTCAAACGACTTAAAATTGTTTGCACTTTGTGTGTGAGGGTTCAAGTCCCTCAGTAGGTAATTAAGAGAAGAAAGCATTTTGGTATTGCAATCGCCCTGTAAAGGCGATGGTTCCGACCATTCTGGGTTCAAATCCCAGTCTTCTCAAAAAAAAAAGAGGATATAGCTTAATTGGTAAAGCCGACTGCTCATAACAGGAAAGATGTAAGTTCAAATCTTACTGTCCTCATAGGCGAATAAGTGTAACGGTAAGCACATAAGGCTCATGATCTTAAAGGGGTTGTTCAATTCAATCATTCGCCCTTTGAATATAACTGTAGTAAAATGTGAATAAGTGTAATGGAAGCACATAAGGCTCATGATCTTAAAGAGATTGTTCGATTCAATCATTCACAAATTAAGATCTCATCATCTAAGGGTAGGATCTGGCACCTTCACTGCCATAATGTTCGTTCAAATCGGACTGAGATCATAAAATAAAGGAATCGTAACTTAAAGGTTAAAGTGTTTGCTTGATAAGCAAAAAATAATGGTTCAATTCCATTCGATTTCAATATATAAATAATTTTACATTATAATGATTAGATAACTTATTGGTAAAGTATCAAGCTGCAAACTTGATAAAGAATGTTCGATTCATTCTCTAATCTTTATAATAAAAATAATAAATTATTATAATATAAAATACGGGAGTATAACTTAATTGGTAGAGTAACAGATTTTTAATCTGCATCATTTGGGTTCAAGTCCCAATACTCTCATATTTCTAAAAAAAAAAATAAATGCTTTGATAGCTTAACAGGTAAAAGTACAGAACTGAAAATTCTGGGTAGGATGTTCGAGTCATCCTCAAGGCATTAAAATATATAGCTGTAATAGCTTAATGGTAAAGCAAATCACTGTTAATGATCGGATCTCTGTTCAATTCAGAGTTATGGCTGATTTAGTAAATATATATATATATTATATTATTTAATTAATAAAAAGGAAAAATCGCCTAATGGTATGGCAATAGTTTGCTAAACTACGCATTAAAAAAAAAATGCTTGGGGGTTCGAATCCCCTTTTTTCCGAAACAAAAGGATTATATTATCCTATATAGATATAAATAAAAATGAAATTAGCTTTATTATTATTTTTAATAGGTATTTATGGTATAATATTAAATAGAAAACATTATCTTTTAGTTTTAATCTCTATAGAGATTATATTATTATCTATTACTATTTTAGTTCTTTATTTTTCTATTCTTCATGATGATATGTTAGCTCAAATTTTTGGTTTATATATTATTTCAATTGCAGCAGCTGAATCAGCAATTGCTTTATCTATATTGGTAGCTTATCATAGATTAAGAGGTACAATAAATATAATAACAGAAACTCCTAAAGGAAATAAAGCTACTTTACTTCCTCAATTTACTTTATAATATAAAAATATCTAATTAATTCTCATATATTAGGGTAGATGACTGAGTATGGTTTAAGGTACTTCGCTTGAAACGAAGAGAAGTTTGGAATAACTTCCATGGGTTCAAATCCCATTCTGCCCGTAAACGGATAGTAGCGTAATAGGTAACGCCTCTAATTTGGGATTAGAAGATTGTAAGTTCGATTCTTGTCTATCCGATAAAAAAAGAAATAAAAATATGGTTAATAAAAAAAAAATAAAATAAAAAAAAAAATGAATACATTATTATTATTTATAATTTTGACACCTGTTATATTAGTAGGTCTATTAGTAATAAATTTAATAATACCTGTAAATAGACCTGATTTTTCAAAATTATCACCATATGAATGTGGTATGGATACAATAGGTACAGCTAGAGAAAAATTTAATATACAATTTTATTTAGTAGCTATATTATTTTTAATATTTGATATAGAAGTAATATTTTTATTTCCTTTTGCTTCTGTTTTATATAATATTTCTTTATTTGGATTTTGGATAGGTACTATATTTATTATTGTATTAACAGTAGGATTTATTTATGAATTAAGTAAAGGTATATTAAATTTTATAGATAATTAATGTAATATAATTCTCTAAAATTTAATAAAAAAAAGGGGGAAATAATTTAATTGGTAAAATGCTGGTCTCCAAAACCGGTCTTAAGGGTTCAAGTCCTTTTTTCCTTGAATAAATAATATATAACACTCTTAGCTTAATAGGTTAAAGTTGTAATCTTCGAAATTATATATATGGGTTCAATTCCCATAGAGTGTTTTATAAGGCGAATATAGTTCAAAGGTAGAACTACAATTTGTGGCATTGTTAATATGGGTTCAATTCCCATTATTCGCCTAAAAAAAATAAAATTATAATAATATTTATATATAAATTTATAATTACTCGTTTAGCTTAATAGGATAAAGCATCGATTTTCTAAATCGTATATTGCAGGTTCAAATCCTTCAACGAGTGAAAATTAATATTTATAACTAAAATTATGAAGATAAAAAAAAAGTAAAAAAATTATAATAAAAGAAAAAGAAAAAATATAAATAAAAATGATAACATTATTATTATTAATACCTATAATAGGTACAATTATTTGTTTAAAAACAACAGATAAAAACAAAATAAAAGATATAGGATTAACAACAGCGATTATAAATTTTATAGTATCAATTATAATGTGGAATAAATTTGATTATAGTTGTAGTCAAACACAATTTTTAATAAGATTTACAGATACAATAACAGCAGGTGTTGATGGAATATCATTATTATTTATATTATTAACAACATTAATAATAGTAATATCAATTTTAGGTGGTTGGAATATAGAAAAAAATACTAAATATTTTATAATATCATTATTATTATTAGAAACTATATTAATAGGAGTATTTGTAATATTAGATATGTTAATATTTTATATTTTTTTTGAAGCATCACTTATACCTATGTTTTTATTAATAGGATTATTTGGTAGTGATAGTCAAGGTTATAAAAAAGGTAAAGAAAAAGAAGAATTAACTAGAATATATGCTACTTATCAATTTTTTTTAATGACATTAGGAGGATCATTATTAATGTTATTAGCTATATTAATATTATATTCTTTTTCAGGAACTTATGATTATATATTTATTTCTTCATCTTATTTATTACCTTCTAGACAATTTATATTATGGTTGTCACTTTCCTTCAGCAAGAAAGATATGACCCACAGATTAATTCATTCAAGTAATAACACCCTTCGTAGTACAAAAATAAATATGGATACTATTATAAACACACTAATAAAGAATGTAAAAAATTAGTTATTTATGGTTCTAATTTAGGTTCAATTTTTAAATATGAAGGTTTTAGTTCTAAATAAAGATCTATATGTAAAATACCTAAATATTTAGATTCTGTGATATTTGGAGTTTTAATATCAGATGGTTATTTATATAAAATAAATCAAACAAGACATTATTAGCTTTTAAACAGAAAAATTTTGAATATTTTTGGTTTATTATTAATAAATTTTCTCATTATTGTAGATCATTACCTAGAATTTCAAGAACAAATATAAATGGTAAAATATTATATTTATATGTTTGCTACTAGAGTTTATCCTTGTTTTACTAAATGGTATGAAATGTTTTATTTTGAGGGTAAAAAAATAGTACCTTTAGATTTATATAAAATGTTAACATATGAAGCATTAGCAGATAGGCCGACAGGCATATCTGCCTATCGGCTCATTGGATAATGGAAGATGGAACTAAAAGTAATAAAGGTATAACTCTTCAAACTCAATCTTTTACAGTACAAGAGTGTACCTTTATAATAAGTATGTTGAACTTGTAGTTCAACCTAAAATGTAATATTCATATGCAAAGAAATCAACCTACTATTTATATTATAAGTAAATCTATAAAAAAACTAAAACCTCATATATTACCGTATATATGTCCTAGTATGAAATATAAATTAGGTGAATAATTGATAGATTTAGATTAAAATTTTTATAAAAATTTTAGATTTGCTCTGTTGTGGAATAGTATTTTTATTAATTTTAAGAACAATGATTGTATTACTATGAATTAAGTCTGCGTGGCAAATTCGAGAGACCGACAATAATTAGTGATAATTATTGCCATATCGTCGAACTAAGTCAATTTACTGAAAAGTTTATTGTAAAAGCGTAGAGGCCAAACGCCACATGATCATCTACGGGACAATAGAATTGTCCTAAGAGATTATAAGAAATGGTCCGGTTCGCCAGTAATGGCCCATGAACTAACAGTTCATGTAAGGTATTTATACCATATATGATTGTATAAATACTGAGAAAATAAGCCAGCTATATCTGAAAAAGATAAAAGGCCTAACCCTGAGGATTCTTTATATCTTTTGCTATAAAAACACCTTTATTACCATTTCATCAATGGTTACCTTTAGCTCATACTGAAGCACCATTAAGTGGTTCTATTATATTAGCTGGTAGACTAATGCCAGCTTTAAATTTAGCTATTTGCTGGAAACTCCTTTATAAAGGACAATCAGCAGGAAACTTTGCCGTATTCGGTAGCCAATCAAAATTGGTTGAAAAAATAATGAAAATAGTATTTACTATTTCCGTTAAATTTCATAGGATCCTCAGAGACTATACACTAAAAATAATTAATAGTTTTATACTTAAAATTAATCCAATTAAATTAATTTTTTATATCAATAATTCAAGAATTATCCTTAATATAAAAAAACAATATTTTTCTACTTTAATTAATAAACAAACAGATACCTCCAAGGGTAATATTACACAAATAAATACTTATTTAGGTTCTTATTTAGCAGGTTTAATTGAAGGTGATGGTTGTATTTATTTATCTAAAAATATTATAAATACACCTCAAATTATTATAACTTTTAATAGTAAAGATTATCCTTTAATAGCTATTTTACAAAAAATTTTAGATGCAGGTAATATATATAAAATAAAAGGTAAAAATGCATATCACTATAGAATTAGTGATAAAAAAGGTTTAGAAAAAATAGTAACTTTAATTAATGGTAAAATGAGAACTCCTAAAATTTATCAATTATATAAACTTATAGAATGGCTTAATAAAAAAGATATTCATATTATTAAAAAATCTTTAGATCATTCATCTTTAGATTCTAATGCCTGGTTAGCTGGATTTATTGATGCAGATGGTCATTTTTCAATAAGAATATCTATGGATAAAAAAACTAATAAATTAAAAAAATCTTCTTGTAGTTTAGAATTAGTACAAAGACAAAAAGATATTAATGGTATTTCTAATTTTGGTATAATGTCCTTAATAAGTGAATTTTTATCATGTAAAGTAAAAGAAATTAATATTACTTATAAAAATCCTAATTATAGAATTAGAACTACAAATTTAGAAGGAAATTTAATATTAAAAAATTATTTAGACAATTATCCATTATTAAGTAGTAAATATTTAGATTATGTAGATTGGTGTAAAGTTTTAGAATTATTTTATATACAAAGAAAAAAAAATGAGGATACGATTAAAAAAATTATTATAATAAAATCTAATATGAATAATAAAAGAACTTATTTTAATTGGGATCATTTACAAAAATTTTATATATAAAACTATTTTAATTATTAAAATATAGTCCCGTCAATATAGAAATATGTTGAGTATCTACCAAATAAATAAAAAAAATTCGTATATTTTATAAATAATATATTTTTTTTTTATTTTTTATTTGAAAACCAATTGGTTTATGACTTTTTTTAGTAGTAGATCAAGAAAAAAGATTATGTTAAAATTAGCAACTTATGGATTTATAAGATATTCTTTAAATATATTTCCAGAAGGATCTTATTATTTTTTACCTTTAATATTACCTTTATCACTTTTAGGTATAATTTATTCTTGTTTAACTACTTTAAGACAAATAGATTTTAAAAAAATTATTGCTTATAGCTCAATTGGTCAAATTGGCCCGATAAACATAATATATTTATCGCAACAAACTATATGCGGGGAATTTAATAGATTAACGGGTGAAAATATAATATCCCAGTTTTCAATATTTCAGAATACTAAAATTGTTAGTAATCTTATTTTAGTTTTAGATTCCGTTTTAGTAAGAATTTCTATAATATATTTAAACAATCCGCAGATAACCAAAGCGCTTAGCACGTTAATGGGAATCTCAGAGGCCATACGTTTGTTATTTACTAATATTTTAAAACAATATGTTAATCCGATCAAAATATATATTAATTCATATTTAAATTTTACTTCTATGTATACTACTTCTACTAAAAATAAAAATAAAGCCGAAAAAAAATTTTTTGAATGGTTAGCTGGTTTAATTGATGGTGATGGTTATTTCTATTTATCTAAAAAAGGATTAGTAAGTTTAGAAATAACTATGGATTTAAGAGATGAACATTGTTTATACTTAATAAAACAAAAATTAGGTGGTTCAATAAAATTAAAATATGGTGCAAAAGCGGTTAGATATAGATTACATCATAAAGAAGGAATATTAAATCTTATTAATGGTATAAATGGGTATATAAGAAATCCAATAAGATTGGATCAATTAAATAAAATATGTATTAAATATAAAATTGAATTAATACAACCCCTACCATTGACATATGATTCTGGTTGGTTATCAGGATTTTTTGATAGTGATGGATGTATATATATAAATAAATTAAATTACACTATAATTTTTTCATTTAGTCAAAAATATAATTATGTTTTTGAACCTTTAGTAAATTTATATGGAGGTAAAATTTATTTTTATGATAAAAAAAATACTTTTAGATGGGTAATTTATAAAAAAGAAGAAGTACTATCTTTATATAAAAACTATTTTCATCTAAATCCTTCTAGATCCGCTAAATTTACTAGAATTAACTTAATACCTAAATTTTATGAATTAAAAAATCTAAAAGCTCATTTAGCTGATAATCATTTAATTTTAAATAAAGCATGGCAACAGTTAATTAGTTCATGGAATAAATGTTTTAAATCAGAATAAGTAAATAAAGATATGGTCCGAGTTATTAATATTTTTTTAATAAACAGCATATGGCTATAGCAATAATGAGTTTATTTTCATTTTTATATCAAGGTTTATCTGGTGCTATATTTTTATCGATAGCTCATGGTTTTACTTCTCC